GTTTTCTTCTGGTACCAGGAATGGAACTCAAGACCTTGCGCTTGCCAGGCAGGCGCTGTGCCGCTGAGCTAAATCCCCAGCCCCGAGCACCCCAGTATTCAAAAGAAAAGTCCTCTGCCCACCCCGCAGACTGGAGCCACCAGAGTTGACAGAGGCAGACACAGAATTTAACCTTGAACAACCCCTAGGCTCCAGATGTGCCAAGAGAAGAGGCGTTTCTAGTGGCAGGAGAAGGCGAGATGCGGGCTTACCTGTGCGTGGAGTCTACCAACCATGTGCTTTACAGAACGTGCCTGCTCTCTGGTGTGTCTTGAAGGAGAGCTTTCTAGTGCTCTGGGAAGCACAAGGGCAGCTTTCCGGCCAAAGCGAAGGGTGAAGACGGTGGGAAAAATTAGATGCAGAGGGCAGGACTAGAGATGGGATGAAATAAATGAAGCCCGAAGCAGAGTGTAATCTCCAAGTTTGTGGGGGTTGGGGAGTCGTCCCTCATTCATTCATCTTGGCAGTGGCTGCACCATCTTACATTCCCTCCAGCTGTGTACGAGGGTTTCGGTTTCTCCACATTCATGACCAACACTTGTTAGTACCTTTTCTGCTTTGTTTTGTTTGCAACAGGGTCTCCTTATGTAGTCCAAGTTGGCCTTGAACTTGCAGTTCTTCTGCCTCAGCCTCTAAGTACTAGGATTATAGATGTCTGCTGCAACACCTGACTTACTGCCTTTTTTCTTTTAGCCACCATAGGTAGTGTTAAGCACTCTTTGTGCTTTTGATCTGCATTTCCCTAATGATTAATAATGTTGGGCATCTTTATGTGCCTATGGGCCATTCCAAGGTAGATTGTTTTTCTCCTCTTTTTGTGGCCCTGGGGATTGAACCTAAGGCTTTTGCACTGAGCTACTTGTACATCCCCAGCCCTTTTAAAATTAAGTTACCCGAACTGGGCTCCACCTTGCAATCCTCCTGCCTCGGCCTCCAGAATGCTAGCACTATACATTGGTTCCAAGGTGTCCCCTTCTCCTTCTCTCCTCCTCTTCCTCCTCCTTCTTCTTTTTGCCAGCATCAGATTTATTTATTTATTTTGAAGTTTTTGTCAAGTTAATCATCATAAATGCAGATTAACAGTCAGTCTAGCAGACTCAAGGTATCTTCAGGGAAGAAATGTTTGTTCAAATAATTTGCTCATTTTCCGTTTTGTTCTTGTTTTTTTTAATTGTATTTTTTTGTCTTTTTGAGACAGGGTATTGCTATGCAGTTCAGGCTGGCCTTGAGCTCACTTTGTAGCCCAGGCTGGTCTCAAACTCACAATGATCCTCCTACTTCAGCCTCCAAAGTGCTGAGATTACATGTGTGCGCCACCAAGCCCGGCTTGTTCTTGGTTTTGTTTTGTTTTGTTTGAGACAGGGTCTTACTGTGTAACTCAGGCTGGCCTCAAACTCACAATCCTCATGCCTCATCTAACTGAGCAGCTGGAATTACAAGTGTGCACCACTATTGTGGCAAAACTGAGTCTGGGACAGGAATGATGCCCAAGAAATCAGGAGGCAGTGAACAGCTTTATTCTGCACTGGTGGTCCTGGCCGGGATTGGTTCCCACAACAAAGCCAGTGCTTGTGGGCCAGCACTTTTATGTGGTACATAAGCAGGAAGTCCAAAGGTGAGACAGAACAGCCTGGCAGTTCCCTGATTACCTAGCAAAGTGAGATCATCGGTTACAAGGCTAGACTAATGATCATGAAGCTTGCTACAATCAGACATCCTGCATGTTTGGTTATACTTTTGTGGTTACAGGGATCAAGAAAGTAATTACAGAGCCATGAAGCAGTTACGGAGGTAGGCAGTTTCAAAAGAACAAAGTTTTTTAAAAAAAAAAACAACAACACAATATTTCTGGTACAGTTTTTCCCTTTCACCACATACCCAGTCATTTGCTTTGAAATTGAGTTATTGGATGTCTTAGTTACTTTTCTCATTGCCGAGTCAAAATACCCAACATGCACAAATTAAGAGAGGAAAGGTTTATTTAGCTCATAGTTTGTAAAAGTTTCAGTCCATAATCAGACTGGCTCCAAGACAGTGTGGCACATGACAGAGGTGCAGCCATTCATGGTGGCAGAAAACAGCAAATGCAATAAGCAAATGAGACATGCCTCTTTCTGTCCCTTATATTATATGCAGGCTCCCTGCCCTAGCGTGGGTGTAGCACTCACGCCCTTAGTCCCAGTGTTGGACCACAAGTCAATCACAGACTCTAGATTTAGCCATCACTGAAAAGCCCATGACTTGTGACTGTATGAAGCTTGGGGGGGGGACTGTATGAAGCTTGCGGGGGGACATTTAGATATAAACCGTAACATTGGACTTGTTATTGAATTTTCTTTTTTGTTTGTTTTTGAGACATGGTCTTGCTATGTAGCCCAGGCTGGCCTTGAATATGCAGGGATCCTCCTGCCTGCAGTACTCTTAAATGCTGGGATTAGACGTGTGCACTACCATACCTGGCCTTGAATTTTAAGAGTTCATTATATATTCAGAATACTAGAGCTCCATCAGATAGATGATTTACAAATTTTCCTCCCACTCTGTGGGACTGTAGAGAGTAGGGTGAGAGGGCTGATCTCTGTAGA